TTCTGATGCAAGCACTATCATGTAGCACATTTTGAAGAATTTCTCAACTCATGGAATATATATATTGCAATTACATGAGGACCATTTATATGAAGCAATTACTTATAGTTTATCTGTAACCATTCATATATATAAAGCAATATACTCCTTGACTATCCAGGTTTATCAGGGAGACCCATATTGGACTATGTAAGCTTTTAGCTTTTATTCCATCAATTTTCGAACCCAATGATCTTGTGCTGCTAAACTACAGATCCAAATCTCTATTTGTATCCTTGGTTGAGAAATTTTTGTATTCCAATCAGCTTAGATTAAGCGAGAGAAATTAAATGGGACAAAAAAAAAAGCACTCCGTCTATGCTCAATCCGGGAGATCATATTTTTAGTATTAGGGCTGGGATTCTCTACTATCATCACGGTACGTAATTTTCACTCACTATAATATTTAATTATAACTTTGTTCTAGTTCTTACGATTAATGTATTCTTCTTTTGTTATTATAGGAATATATGTGGGCGATGACATGGTGATTCATCTTATGGCAGCTGGAATGAAAAAAAGTTCATCTTCTTTGTGCCCAAAATGTGGCTACAATCGAGACAGAGATAGTAGAATTGTCAAAACTTGTCTTGACTGTTTCCTCGATGGCAACAGCCTATATCTTTGAATATGGTATGCCTTGCAAATAGGAGTGTAAACGAGCCGAGTCGAGCCGAGTATCACCCTAAACGAGCCTGACTCGGTTAAGCATTAGACAAGTTCGAGTCGAGTCACGAGTCAACCAAGTCAGGAAAATTCGGCTCGTGACTCGGCTCGTTTATAAACGAGCCAGCTCGTGACTCGACTCGTTTATAAACGAGCCAGCTAGTGACTCGGCTCGTTTAATGCGAGCTCGAATTGGCTCGATTACAGCTCGTTTGACCCTTTTTTAATATAACCTGTAGATTTTGTTTTACACAAATCAGATCCAATTTTTGATAAATTTGCATCTAAATCAACATAAATCACATCCAAATCAACATAAACAACGTATTACACAACAAATTATACAAAAAAAAAAAAAAACCAAACACAAATCTCCATCAAAATACATCAAAATTATCATCAAAACGACATAGAATTCAAACTTCTGGAAGTTGAATATCCAATGATTCCTGTGCTTGTGGTGGCTTGGTGTGATAATTAGGAAATTGTTTTAGGGTTCTTGATTTGGGGGAGAATGAATTTACGCAATTTGATTTTGGGTTAATTGGGATTATTTTGTTAAGGGTTAATTTGTGATTTTTTAAACCTTTTAGTCTTTTACATGTCAAATTACAAAAAAACCCAAAAACTTGTATTATGCACAGAAAAACCCTAAACGAGCCACTACTAGCTCGCGAGTAGAATTGAGTCGAGTCGGGGTAGACTCGAACTCAGCTCGATAACTTACTCGAGTCGAATTCGAGCTGGCTCGGCTCGATTATAATCGACCCGAGTTTGAGTATTTAACGAGTCGGCTCGGGTCGACTGACAACGCTACTTGCAAATCACCTGATGAAGTTATTAGGACTACCACGGAGTTTCTCCAAGGAAAAGATTTTGGCAAGTACAATTTGCATTTAACAATTGCGAGGATTTTGCATCCTATTGTAAAACAGGCCTTCGTTTATGTTCTCAAAGGGAATCGTTTGTCAGGATAGTGCATCTTCTTCCGATGCCCAGAATCGGACCTGTGACCCCAATCCTTCAAGTCGCCCTGGGGATCTTGGACGGATATAGTTTTTACTTTTAGTCAAAGTTTTCAGATTTCTCCTGTTATGCTTGAGAATGTAGGGCTGATGTCGAACCTTGTCAGCACGGGTGCTTAGAGCTTAAGAAGATTCTACAACCACTCAGATGCAGCCACGTCTCTTGCCAGTGCAGTGGGATGCGCCAGGTTGGCGAAAGGCTAGAAAAGGTCCACGTGTCCAATCCCTGCACAGGTTGAGCAAATCACTCGGATAGGTGAATAATGGCACACAGAGAAGGATTTGCACGACATCTGCCCCACTCACAAATTTAGTAATAATTACCTTTATTCATCCCATTATAAATAGAGGGTTCCTCTCCCGTTTGTGGGATTAGCTAATTTTTACTCAGAAATAGCATACTCTCTTTCTCTCCATATTGTATTTTTTAAGCTATAAATCAGCTCGCTGAACGCGACTTGACTTATTTCATTAATACAAATACCAGTGGACGTAGGATTCACCTTGTGAGCATCCGAACCACTTTAAATATCGTTCTTCCCCTTGTTATTAGCTAAATACTTCCATAATCACACGTGACTTCTGAGCCCACTCAGCATTTCTCACGTGCGAGTAGTTGGTCTCAAAATCCAACGTCAACATCTCTTGTATTAAAATATGTGTATGCAGTCAAATTCGTGTTCTAATGCAATGGAAGGATGTTTAAAATTCTCTCATAAAATAATTATAGAGTTATCTGACGAGTGTTATATAACTTGTCTTGAGTATTTACTACTAAAATATCATCATAAATAATTTGGAATTAAAAACTTTAGTAGATAATATTATCCATTGATGAGGACCGTCTTGCATAGAGATTATCACAGTAACAGCTAAACTGTTTAAATCTCTGAGTGATAAAGAAATAATGTTAACGAATGGTTTTAGTAATTTGAGATGTCATATTAATAACTTGTAACATCAAAATAATCAGCATAACCCACCACCCATGGGTAGTTGGTAGTCCAACGATAAGGGCGAATCAAGGGAACTGCAAATAGTCCAACCCATAATCAATGCTTAAATTAATTCTCCCTAGGCGCAAAGGTAATACCCTCCCTTATAATTTACCGAGGGGTTGCAGTAGCGAGTTGCTATGAGATAGCTTCCAGCCTTCCACTGAAAAATGTTATCAAGTGTGATTGATAAATCTATATTATCATTTTTATGATGTCATTAATTGATTCGATGACATTATTGTGTTAATTTTGAACTAGACTCCCATTCTGGTGGGGTTGCGGTAGTGGATTGCAATGAGAAAACTTTCACTGACAAATGTTATCAAACGTGATTGATAAATATATATTATCATTTTTATGATGTCATTAATTGATTTGATAACATTATTGTGTTAATTTTGAATACTCTCATTCTCGTACAATAGAATCGAATATTATATATATAGTACAAATGATTCGAAAACGAAAAAAAATTTAAAAAACAGTAGAAAATTACAATTATTTATAGACACCAGGATGGTCAAGAACTAGAGTCGTTATTAACAGTAGAAGCTGCTGCAAATTTTACGACGAAATCAGGAAAAGCTGGTGGCGGTGGTGCATGAACAGCTGCGGCAAAATTCATTTCACTTAACGTGCAATGACCGCTGCCACGGCCTGGAATATACGTGCATGGATTGCGACCGATAGGCGCCACCGGACCCTTTTGTAGAGATTGAACGATCAGACTTTTCTTTCTCCATTGCTCTCCTTCGAGCGGCCTCATTGCCGAAGTTCGTTCACAAAATGACGCACAAAGAAGGACGCAAACGAGTGGTATTATGAAGCAACGTAAACCCATTTGAGATGTGAAAGATTTGTCGTGAAAAGAAATGGAAGTTGAAGGTTGAAGATGAATTAAAAATGGTTATGGAGATGGATGAATCGATGTGTATTTATATTATAAGGTTGAGAAGGGGTTGACTGAAAGCCGCGGGGTTTGAAGTTTGAATGAAAGTCTAAATGAGAGACACGGACCTTCACCTTTAAGGGCAAACGATTAGCCCATAATATTTATTTATGCGACTTAATCAAAGTAAGAAATTTGAAGAAGTCCAATTCTGATGCATGAGAGAAGTATTTCAAGTCTTGGGCTCTGGGTCTATTGGTTTTATTGACCCAGCCCATGTCCAATATTTGATGACATGATTTTTGGTGAGATTGAACGATCAGACTTGTCCGTGTAGATAGGTTTGTCACTTTTTTTTCTTCAGAATTTTACAATTAGAATTAGATACTCTAATATATTTTTCTTTTTAATTTTATTCTGAACAATAGTATTAAGTTCACAATATTCTCTCACAACCTCTAACATGATAATTTATCATTGGTTAGCTCGCAAATTGGTAGGCAAAACCTATACAAGCAGGTAAGACTCATTTTACGAATTGATCAATGACGAACTGTTATGTTAGGAGTTGTAAGAGAAGATTATGAGATTAAATTGTGAATCTAGCATTACTCTTAGTCTAAAAAGGAATAAATCCCAATTAATCTATGGGCATATCTTAATAGGACTTTTCAGAGGAACCATTATTAAAATTTCTTCCTTAACAGTTTAACAATTATTATAAAACAATTCCTTTGCAATAGATTCATATTATTTTAAGATTATATTCCAATCTCTAATAGTCATTGCATTTTCTCTCCATCTATCTATAAATTTGTAATGGTTTAATTAGAAAGCAGATAATCTCTAATCACAAATTGGAAATTAAAGGAAAATTTTATTAAGATGGGACAACGTTCAAGCCAGCAACGGGGGCTCCAACCGGGTGATCAGATCACCACTAATAGAATCGTGTTTGTCTACCATCATCACGGTAAGTTTTTTAGTGTTCACACTCTTTTAAACTTACATCTAATTGCAAGTATATATAAATATAAATATAATTCACTTTCCAAAACAAAAACCTAGTATATATTATATATATATAGTGTTCATAACGTACACCATCTAAGCTTTCTTCAATTTAAATGATATATCAACTCGACTTTTCACACTTTTTGCATTGGCAAAATTTTCAGTGGAATTATTGTAATCTCATTATATTTTGTGGTACTACTGATCATTTGGTAGGTAAGTATCATAGACTCCATATATTCTAACTTGTTATTCTTATATTTTATTCAATTCAATAAAAGTCATATATAATCATATTGTATATGTATTTATATTCTCTTTCGTCGAAAACTCTCTTAATTTATAACAGGAATATATGTGGGGGATGACATGGTCATTCATTTGCTACCGCTTGCAAAGCAAAGTAACTCTTCTACCCCATGCCAAAACTGTGGGCACACACCAAGCTTACATGGTGGGATCGTCAAAAAATGTCTGGATTGCTTTCTCGATGGCAACTCATTATATATTCTTGATATTAACAACTGCAAGCCACCTGATGAGGTTGTGAAGATTGCCACCGAGTTTTTCCAAGGAATAAGGACCTTTGGTGACTACAATTTTGCTTTTAACAACTGTGAAGACTTTGCATCCTTTTGTAAAACGGGCAAAAAGTCATCTGAGCAAAGAAGGAATGCAACTGTATTAGCTGTCTTGCCCTCTGCGATGTTATCTGGTGGTAGAGTGATTGTTGGTCCAGCAGGCGGTGGTGATGGTGTAAGCGTAAGTTGTTGGTTTAGGTTTTAAATTAAGGTTTTACTCTATAGTGGAAATTTTCTAGTAAAGATGTCATGTCTGTCAACCATGCTCAACTTTTTTTTTTTTTTTAAAATAAAAGGATGTACTAACTAGAGAATTAAAAGACAATAAATTTAGTTTTGTGTAATAGGACTATGACTGACTTTTTCTTTTGTTAAGCACTTCATAGAAATAGCCAGTCTCGTTTAAATGAGGTTTGAGTAAATTATCTTCGTATCTTGATGTCCCAAGCACAAGGGTTATCAAGCATATTGGAAAAATGTAAATGTTTTATATATGTTGGATGTTAATACACTTGACTTGATACTAATTATGGCTTAAATTATTCTCGTAGGCGCAAAGGTAATACCCTCCCTTATAATTTACCGAGGGGTTGCAGTATGATTGCTATGAGATAGCTTCCACCTTCCACTGACAAATGTTATCAAGTGGGATGTATAATGTATTTATCATTTTTATGATTCATTAATTGATTCGATGCCATTATTGTGTTAATTTTGAACTAGACTCCCATTCTGGTGGGTTTCGGTAGTGGATTGTAATGAAAAAGCTTCCACCGACAAATGTTATAAACGTGATTGATAAATATATATATCATTTTTATGATTTCATTAATTGATTTATAACATTAGTGTGTAATTTTGAATACTCTCATTCTCGTACAATAATCAATATTATATATAGTACAAATGATTCGGCAAAATATCGAATTAACTTGTATTAATTTTATTATATATATGCCACATGGTCAATTTGATATATCATCTTTAAATATGATAATTTGGGAAAATAATTAAAAATTAATATCAAAGAATCCAATAATCAATTCAATATGAATATGAGTTGCCATGTGGCGTGATCGAATTGCGCAACCAGATGGCTTGTTGCATTTAATGGTTGCTCCCATTCTCAAATACAAAAACGAAAAAAAATTTAAAAACATAGAAATTACAATATTTATAGACACCAGGATGGTCAAGAACTGAGTCCCAGAAATTATACAAGTGCAAACTTTTACAAGCAAGGCCCGAACCAAAAGAACCAGACCAAGGTAAAAGAATACAAAGCATTATTCAACAAAAGGAAATAGAAAACAATGTTATTTAAGGCTCAAGACTACAGGATGACGCAATCTATGGAATATATAACACGTAAAAAATTAATTATGTGATGTCTTGTTAATTTAAAGATAAGTGAAGTTATCCTGAAACTTAGCCCTGAGAGGGTTATTATTCACCATATCTATCCAAAAACCCTTGCTCTTTTTATCGTAGTATCCTGAAACTTAGCCCTGAGAGGGTTACATATAATTACTTTTAGAATTATATGTAAAAGTTTAATTCTGACAGCAGGACTAAATGTTTGTGATCTTTGAACATATCTATATATAGTTCGAATTCTAATTTGCATATGCCTATCTCTTATCTATTATTTGATTTTTTTTTCACAAAATTACAGGTTAATGTTTGTGTTATTACAAAATTACAAAGTTATGTTAATTACACTGCCAATAATGTCTAGAATATTTTTAATGACATCAAGCATCTGATGCAAGCACTAGCATGTAGCACATTTTGAAGAATTTCTCAACACATGGAGAATATATATTGCAATTACATGAGGATCATTTTCATAAAGCAATTCCTTAAAAGTTTATCTGTAACCATTCATATAAAAGCAATATATTCCTTGACCATCCAGGTTTATCAGGGGGACCCATATTGGACTATGTAAGCTTTTAGTTTTTATTCCATCAATTTTCGAAACCAAGGATCTTGTGCTGCTAAACTACAGATCCAAATCTCTATTTGTATCCTTGGTTGAGAAATTTTTGTATTCCCAATTAGCTTAGATTAAGCGAGAGAAATTAAATGGGACAAAAAACAAGCACTCCGTCTATGCTCAATCCGGGAGATCATATTTTTAGTAATAGGGCTGGGATTCTCTACTATCATGACGGTGAGTAATTTTCACTCACTATAATATTTAATTATAACTTTGTTCTAGTTCTTACGTTAATGCATTCTTATTTTGTTATTATAGGAATATATGTGGGCGATGACATTGTGATTCATCTTATGGGAGTTGGAGTGAAAAAAAAGTTCATCTTTTTTGTGCCCAAAATGTGGCTACAATCGAGACAGAGATAGTAGAATTGTCAAAACTTGTCTTGACTGTTTCCTCGATGGCAACAGCCTACATCTTTGAATATGTTATGCCTTGCAAATCACCTGATGAAGTTATCAGGACTGCCACGGAGTTTCTCCAAGGAAAAGATTTTGGCAAGTACAACTTTGCATTTAACAATTGCGAGGATTTTGCATCCTATTGTAAAACAGGCCTTCGTTTATGTTCTCAAAGGGAATCGTTTGTCAGGACAGTGCGTCTTTTTCCGACGCCCAGAACCGGACCTGTGACCTCGATCCTTCAAGTCGCCCTGGGGATCTTGGAAGGATATAGTTTCTACTTTTAGTCAAAGTTTTCAGATTTCTTCTGTTATGCCTGAGAATGTAGGGCTGATGTCGAACATTGTCAGCATGAGTGGTTAGAGCTTAAGAAGGTTCTACAATCACTCAGATGTGGCCACGTCTCTTGCCAGTGCAGTGGGATGCGCCAAGCTGATGAAAGGCTAGAAAAGGTCCATGTGTCCAATCCCTGCACAGGTCGAGCAAATCACTCGGACAGGTGAATAATGGGACACAGAGAAAGATTTGCACGACATTTGCCCCACTTACAAATTTAGTAATAATTACCTTTGTTCATCCCACTACTATAAATAGAGGGTTTCTCTCCCGTTTGCGGTATTAGCTAATTTTTACTCTGAAATAGCATATTGTCTTTCTCTCCCTATTGTATTTTCTAAGCTATAAATCAGCTCGTTGAACGTGAACTAATTTATTTCATTAATACAAATATCAGTGGACGTAGGATTCGCCTTGTGAGCATCCGAACCATTTTAAATATCGTTATTCTCCTTGTTATTAGCTAAATACTTCCATAATCACACGTGACTTCTGAGCCCACTCAGTATTTCTCACGTGCGAGTAGTTGGTCTCAAAATCCAGCATCAACATCTCTTGCATTAAAATATGTGTATGCAGTCAAATTCGAGTTCTAATGCAATGGAAGGATGTTTAAAATTCTCTCATAAAATAATTATAGTTATCTGATGAGTGTTATATAACTTGTCTTGAGTATTTACTACTAAAATATCATCTTAAATAATTTGGAATAAAAAACTTTAGTAGATAATATTATCTATTGATGAGGACCGTCTTGCATAGAGATTATCACAGTAATAGCTAAACTGTTTAAATCTCTGAGTGATAGAGAAATAATGTTAACAAATGGTTTTAGTAATTTGAGATGTCATATTAATAACTTGTAACATCAAAATAATCAGCATAACCCACCACCCATGGGTAGTGGGTAGTCCAACGATAAGGGCGAATCAAGGGAACTGCAAATGGTCCAACCCATAATCAAGGCTTAAATTAATTCTCGTTAGGCGCAAAGGTAATACCCTCCCTTATAATTTACCGAGGGGTTGCAGTAGTGAGTTGCTATGAGATAGCTTCCAACCTTCCACTGACAAATGTTATCAAGTGTGATTGATAAATGTATATTATCATTTTTATGATGTCATTAATTGATTCGATGACATTATTGTGTTAATTTTGAACTAGACTCCCATTCTGGTGGGGTTGCGGTAGTGGATTGTAATGAAAAAGCTTCCACCGACAAATGTTATTAAACGTGATTGATAAATATATATTATCATTTTTATGATGTCATTAATTGATTTGATAACATTATTGTGTTAATTTTGAATACTCTCATTCTCGTACAATAGAATCAAATATTATATATATAGTACAAATGATTCGGCAAAAATATCGAATTAACTTGATTAATTAATTTATTATATATATGCCACATGGTCAATATTTTGATATATCATCTTTATAATATGATAATTTGGGAAAATAATTAAAAATATAATAATAAAAGAATCCAATAATCAATTTCAATGAATGAATATGAGTTGCCATGATGGTGTTGATCGAATTGCGCAACCAGATGGCTTGTTGCATTATAATGGTTGCTCCCATTCTCAAAATACAAAAACGAAAAAAAATTTAAAAAACAATAGAAAATTACAATTATTTATAGACACCAGGATGGTCAAGAACTAGAGTCGTTATTAACAGTAGAAGCTGCTGCAAATTTTATGACGAAATCAGGAAAAGTTGGTGGCGGTGGTGCAAGAACAGCTGCGGCAAAATTCATTTCACTTAACCTGCAATGACCGTTGTCACGGCCTGGAATATACGAGCATGGATTGCAACTGATAGGCGCTACCGGACCCTTTTGTAGAGATTGAACGATCAGACTTTTCTTTCTCCATTGCTCTCCTTCGAGCGGCCTCATTGCCGAAGTTCGTTCACAAAATGACGCACAAAGTAGGACGCAAACGAGTGGTATTATGAAGCAACGTAAACCCATTTGAGATGTGAAAGATTTGTCGTGAAAAGAAATGGAAGTTGAAGGTTGAAGATGAATTAAAAATGGTTATGGAGATGGATGAATCGATGTGTATTTATATTATAAGGTTGAGGAGGGGTTGACTGAAAGCCGCGGGGTTTGAAGTTTGAATGAAACTCTAAATGAGACTATGAGAGACACGGGCCTTCACCTTTAAGGGCAAACGATTAGCCCATAATATTTATTTATGCGACTTAATCAAAGTAAGAAATTTGAAGAAGTCCAATTCTGATGCATGAGAGAACTATTTCAAGTCTTGGGCTCTGGGTCTGCTGGTTTTATTTACCCAGCCCATGTCCAATATTTGATGACACGATTTTTGGTGAGATTGAACGATCAGACTTGTCCGTGGTCATTATAGATAGGTTTGTCACTTTTTTTTCTTCAGAATTTTACAATTAGAATGAGATACTCTAATATATTTTTCCTTTTAATTTTATTCTAAACAATAATATTAGATTCACAATATTCTCTCACAATCTCCAATGTGATAATTTGTCATTGGCTAGCTCGCAAATTGGTAGGCAAAACCTATACAAATAGGTGGCATCCATTTTACGAATTGATCAATGACGAACTGTTATGTTAGGAGTTGTAAGAGAAGGTTGTGAGATTAGATTGTGGATCTAGCATTACTCTTAGTCTGAAAGGGAATAAATCCCAATTAATCTATGGGCATATCTCAATTGGATTTCACAGAAGAACCATTATTAAAATTTCTTCCTTAACAGTTTAACAATTATTATAAAACAATTCCTTTGCAATAGATTCATATCATTTTAAGATTATATTCCAATTCTAATAGTCTTTGCATTTTCTCTCCATCTATCTATAAATTTGTAATGGTTTAATTAGAAAGCATATAATCTCGATCTAATCACAAATTGGAAATTAAAGGGAATTTTTATTAAGATGGGACAACGTTCAAGCCAGCAACGAGGGCTCCAACCGGGTGATCAGATCACTACTAACAGAATCGTGTTTATCTACCATCATCACGGTAAGTTTTTCAGTGTTCACACTCTTTTAAACTTACATCTAATTGGAAGTATATAAAAATAAAAATAAAAATATAATTCACTTTTCAAAACAAAAACCTAGTATATATTTTATATATAGTGCTGATAACGTACACCATCTAAGCTTTCTTCAATTTTAATGATATATCAACTCGATTTTTCACCAACTTTTTGCAGTGACATAAATTTGCATTCTTAAGATAAATTGGCAAAATCTTTAGTGGAATTATTGTAATCTTATTATATTTTGTGGTACTACTGATAATTTGGTAGGTAAGTCCATATATTCTAAATTGTTATTCTTATATTTTATTCAATTCAATAAAAGTCATATATAATCATATTGCATATGTATTTATATTCTCGTTCGTCGGGAACTCTCTTGATTATAACAAGAATATATGTGGGGGATGACATGGTCATTCATTTGTTACCACTTGCAAAGCAAAGTAACTCTTCTTTCCCATGCCAAAAATGTGGGCACACACCAAGCTTACATGGTGGGATCGTCAAAACATGCCTGGATTGCTTTCTGGATGGCCACTCATTATATATTTTTTTATGATTCTTCAATTGGCTGAAAGCCACCTGATGAGGTTGTGAAGACTGCCACCGAGTTTTTCCAAGGAATAAGGACCTTTGATGACTACAATTTTGCTTTTAACAACTGTAAAGACTTTGCATCTTTTTGTAAAACAGGCGAAAAGTCATCTGGGCAAAGAAGGAATGCAACTATATTAGCTGCCTTGCCCTCTGCGGTGTTATCTGGTGGTAGAGTGATGGTTAGTCCACATGGCCGTGATGATGGTGTACGTGTAAGTTTTGGGTTTAGGTTTTAGATTAAGGTTTTCACTCTATAGTGGAAGCTTTCTAGTAAAGATGTCATGTCTGTCAACCATGCTCAACTTTTTTTTAAATAAAAGGATGTACTAACTAGAGAATTAAGAGACAATAAAT